CCCTTCTCGCAATGCCATATTATTTAAGTTTAATGGACTCTGTAGTCCAACGCGTGACTCGACTTTCTGGCGCCTGACTGGTTGCTTAATGCCATGACTGGATGACAATTTTCCGGCTACTGATTGTGCTTCTGCACAATCACCAGCGTCGTTACGTTTCCCGTTTGACAAAATGACACGCTAATCTGATGTATGCAGTCTGGCACGACACTTGTTCTTTCGGCTTAGTTCACACATTACTTCCTCTTCCGTTTCTTTGTCTTTGATAAACAGGTGGCCCAGGCTCAGTAACCGACTTTCCCTTCGTACTCTGAATCAGCTGCAGAAACTTTCTTGACGACTATCCCTTCGAATTACTGTAGTAACAGTAACATTAACAGTAACTTCAGCTACTGTAGTAAATGTACTGTTGTTCGATCAACTATCGTGCCCTTTACACGTGACATGTACAGCAACTGTACAGAGGATCAGCAAGCAAGCGTGCGAGCAAATTTATTTGAACCATCTTCAAGCTGTTACAGATCAAACCAACTTTATATTTTGCCTTTCAGATGGTGCTATTGAATATCTCATCGATATCACTAAAGATTTGGGATTTGAGATCAACATCTTGGAACCAGTTCCACGGAATCCGGTTTTGATATTGACACTTCGTGGCAGCTGTCCTTCTTTACCGACTCTCATGCTCAACTCCCATATGGACGTTGTTCCTGTTGAAAAGGTAATTTTCAATTTGAAGTTCTTTAATTTACGATTCTGTTTTAAGGCTTTTTGGAAGTGCGATCCATTTGAAGCGTATAAAGATTCATCTGGCAACATAATAGCTCGGGGCGTTCAAGATATGAAATCGATAGGAATGCAGTATAGTATATTTTTCTTTAACGTTGAGTAAATTTTTTAAAGTTTTTCAAGAGACTCAAAAATTTTAATTATTACAGGATTCAAGAAAGTTGTAGATCATAGTTCAGTTTTTAGTCATCTACCTACTTGCGATGTAGACAGAGAGTAGTGGCAAACAGATCTGAGCAAGTGATGACGAAACGACAATGAATAACAGTGAACTGACATAGAAAAATAAGTCGGCATATGAGGACTACAAATGTGCCACAGTTGGGATGATCCACCAGTCAAATCATCTCAGAAACTTTAAAATTTGATCTGGCTTCTAAAAACATATCTTGTTGCATCGGTTTTTAAGTGCATTTAAGTGGTGGAGTAGCGCTGTGCTAATCGTTTCATTTGTTAACGCTTTTCTTTACCAATGAATACCCCTGGATTTGTCATAACCCTTCAGAAAAGTTCAAAGATTAGTTCATTGCAGTGGGAAGAATAGATGATGCTATAATTAACTCATCGCTACACTAGTTGTTCTGTGGAAGAAAAATTCCTCGTATATCATGAAAGGTAGGAGAGGTTGCTATTCCAACTATTATATAATGCCAGTTTTCTTTGTTATAGCTTGTATAGCTGCGAAATTACCACTGTTCGCATCACACTTATTTAATGAATGTGAGAAATCCTTAATCTTGGGATTGAATCTGTAACCGAATGATTCTAGATTAAAACACTAGGCAACTGTTGTTATGTTTTGCCATGACGTGTTATTTGGTCTACTCCTTGCTCCAAACGTGTGAAATGATGGAGAATAAGGACTTCTGAAGCGCACCAGCTCCTTATCTCGAAGAAGGCCCATGGGACATGGGCTGAGATATTGGTTCTATTAAATCATCTGACTGACCAAACTGTTTACGTTGCGTATAAATCGGTGTGACTTTTGGTGTTTTCATTATGACCACTAGCGTCGAACCAGATACTCAACCTAGTTCTTGTATTAAATTAGGTATATTGAAGCTGTCAGAAGACTGATCAAAGAAAAACGGCGAATGAAAAGAACAGTTCATTTGACATTTGTGCCAGGTTTGAAGCCATATCGTGAATTTTGCGACGCCTTTTTTTAGAGGAAGAAGCAGGTGGCGTTTTGGGAATGGGAGCCTTTGTTGAAACTGATGAATTCAAAGCGATGAATGTTGGATTAGCACTTGACGAAGGTTGGCTTTTGCTACTTTATTTTCGTACACTTAGCCTTCAACTTTTAGGCATAGCATCAACAAATGACACGTACAACATTTTCTACACTGAAAGGGTTGCATGGTGTAAGTATTGTTAAAGGGTTTGATGTTAAAGGCATGGTTGTAATTTCCAAGCTAGTGTTTAGCCTGATAAGCTAGTGATTAAAGGAAAGGTTTCTTAAAATTGTGCTGACTAAAACTGGAAGACAGGAGGCAAATTATCGAAGCGTTCGTGATGTGCTACGAAACCTCTGCTTCTGCCAAATGCACGAAAAATTCTAAAAACAGCTTCTTCATTTGCAAGCATTACTTACAAAAAACTTACACGCGAAACTGCGTTTAGAACTTGTCATGGTTTTCGGTAGAAGCAGAAGAAAGCACATCTCGAACGCTTCGGTGATTTGCCTCCTGTCATCCTAAATTTATCTAGCAATGGACCTAGTGAAATTTTGCATTAATCACAACGATCAGGTATGAGATCAAGGAAGGATATTTTGGTGATGCTATAAGAAACATTGACTCCTGTCTGGAGAAAATAGCACTCTAAAGCTTGACTCGAGGGATAGAATAAGGTGAAATTTCGAAGCAAATCTGGACGGATGTCGTGACACTAAACATCAATTGTGCCATTAGAATTGCACAAGACCAAAAGTACGATGCAAGATAATACCTCATGCGATTTGCCCTCTGAACAAAGAATATTAGCTCACAACCACTCAAGAGCTACTTAAGAAACCTGATGTAGCAAAGAACTGTCTTCCTTTTTCGCCAATAGTTGCGATCTCGAACCGTAATCCTAAGCAACTTCAAGAGCTGTCTCAACCTACGTGCTAGACGGTTGAAAGGGCACAAATAAAAATATTGGTAAGGGAATTAAATAGTGACTGTGGTTGTAAGGAACGGTTATCTGGGGACTAGATTAATGACATAATTTTAGCACAATCTGGGATTAACGTGAAGACGGCAGTAGAAAAGTGCTACGCTTTGGGAATCAAACAGCAATTTACTGTTTATTTCGTTGCTGCTCCAGTCAAGTCTTTTCTGGATGAACTTTGGTGACATCAGTACTAGCACTGATATGCTGCTAAATTTTGTCTTAAACTACTTCAATCACTTTTCTGACTCATCTGTTAGGTGGTTGCAGATTGTGGACAGTTTTCTTTTTGAATAATATATCCGGCGGGAATAACCGTCTTCATTATATAAGTGTGAATATATATATATTTTACTGTTGGAACGGAATCAGCTATGAATGCAACTTTTTAACTTGTCGGTAGCAGATCAAAAGCTGAGTTGCACAGAGTATTCTCATGGAATGAAAATTAAGCAAAATTCATAACAACTAATTAATTAGAAATGTCCACATTTTTCAACCGTAGCTGAGCGTATCTGCAACAGAGCAAAATAGTATTCCACAGACTTAAGATAAGTAGAGATTTAATGGCATCTGGGTCTCAAATAGTCCCTGTAGAAGTGCAGTGTCAGTTGTAACTTAATGAATCTCTGAACAATTCATGGTTCGGGGCACCAAATCCAACAGATGGTAAAAGTCTTTAATGCCAACGCGTTTCACT